TAAAATTCTCGATAGTTTCTGAGAAAATGAGTATTTTACCAGATTTTGTTCATCCAATAACATATTCGAAAATCACTATAAAATAATAGCTTCTTAATGGTTTTAAGTGAGCTCAAAAACACCAATTTTCACAAAAAAAGCCCCATTTTTAGAGAGTTATTAATTTTAAAATTTCACATAATTTTATTTTTATATAAACTTTAAGTTACAACAAGGTTAAGTCTAAAATTTTAATTCGGTTGAGTTAGTATTGAATAATCTGTGTGTTTTTAACGTCGGGCTATTTTTAACATTTTAGCTTCGATGCGAAGCTGAGAAGGTATTAATTTTACCATGATATGTTTATTTTTAACACGCTTATATTAGTTTCACTTGTATGTGTGTTGTGAGTTGTTTGTAACTTTCGACGCGCACGTGCACGCGCACGAGACTAGACGGTCGTAACGCATTCACCCCACCCCGCTCTACAGTCATCGAAAATAATATTTTCCAACCCGTAGACGAGCGCTTGTCATCAATTATATATTCATATACAGTGTGGCCCACCACTCACTGACAACTTAAATAACTTTTGATCCAGTTAATATTTTTAGCTGATTTTTTTTTTAAATAATAGTTATACGTTAGGTCTATAGCTATATCTCAATAATTAATTTTTTTACATTTTATTAAAAATATTAATTATTTTTAAATTTTAAATAAAATGTAAAAAAAAAATCTAAGATAGCTATTTTGTAGAGTAGAATTTAAGAAAAATTTTAGTAAAAAAATATCTTATTAATATTCAGTAGTAAATATTCTGTAGCGTTTTGAAGTTTGTGAAAATTTGAATTTTCATGTACTATTTTACGGTATTAAACATTGAAATACGTATTGAGAAAAGGACAGAAGAAAACGCTATCTTTTCAATATACTTTTGAATGAGAGTGATAAGTAATAATTGCCTTATCTAATTTCTTATCATGGTATTTATGCCAAGTTTGTAATGTATACACACTATCATCATATGTATACACAGTAATCATGAAAAGATAGCGTTTTCTTCTGTCCTTTTCTCAATACGTATTTCAATGTTTAATACCGTAAAATAGTACATGAAAATTCAAATTTTCACAAACTTCAAAACGCTACAGAATATTTACTACTGAATATTAATAAGATATTTTTTTACTAAAATTTTTCTTAAATTCTACTCTACAAAATAGCTATCTTAGATTTTTTTTTTACATTTTATTTAAAATTTAAAAATAATTAATATTTTTAATAAAATGTAAAAAAATTAATTATTGAGATATAGCTATAGACCTAACGTATAACTATTATTTAAAAAAAAAATCAGCTAAAAATATTAACTGGATCAAAAGTTATTTAAGTTGTCAGTGAGTGGTGGGCCACTCTGTATATAACAAATTTTTATTGTGATTGACACGGCCCCGCGTCGTTTTACGCCGCGGTGCAAAGTACAGCAAGTGCCACACGGCCGACGACGTCCCGCCGTTAATGATAAGTGACAACGTCAACAAACCGTTTCGTACTCGCGCACCGTCGCCTACAACGCTGCTAACCTTTTGACGCCCGAGGATCATCACCGGACATCGCGTCGTCGACGCCAGCAAAAGTGCCGNTTGAATATTTTTAAGATATTTTTTTACTAAAATTTTTCTTAAGTTCTACTCTACAAAATAGCTATCTTAGATTTTTTTTTTACATTTTATTTAAAATTTAAAAATAATTAATATTTTTAATAAAATGTAAAAAAATTAATTATTGAGATATAGCTATAGACCTAACGTATAACTATTATTTAAAAAAATCAGCTAAAAATATTAACTGGATCAAAAGTTATTTAAGTTGTCAGTGAGTGGTGGGCCACTCTGTATATAACAAATTTTTATTGTGATTGACACGGCCCCGCGTCGTTTTACGCCGCGGTGCAAAGTACAGCAAGTGCCACACGGCCGACGACGTCCCGCCGTTAATGATAAGTGACAACGTCAACAAACCGTTTCGTACTCGCGCACCGTCGCCTACAACGCTGCTAACCTTTTGACGCCCGAGGATCATCACCGGACATCGCGTCGTCGACGCCAGCAAAAGTGCCGCCATATTATGTGAAGATCATATATTCCTACTACCACCGCTAATAATAATATATATATATTATTATTTATACCTATATACGTATATACGTATATGTTAATATTCATTTATATATTCCTACAGCCGACGCCACTGCCGCCATATATGCCTCGCGCCCCGCCCGCCAACAAAACACAGCTATACCTCGTGCATGATACGTTTACGTACTTAAGTCGCTTTACATGTATATATATATATATATTCTAATTACTATTAAAACTTATATATTAATACACTTTATTCTCATTAAGAGATATGTANTTAATACACTTTATTCTCATTAAAAGATATGTAGTGTATTCATTCCGATTACGGGGGATGATTCTCGTATCGTCATTTTTCGTCACTACCTCCTCGTTGCGCTCCTGCTGCTTTCCTTGGATGTGATAGCCGTTTTTTAGACTCCCTCTCCGGAATCGAACTCTGATTTCCCGTTACCCGTTACAACCATGATATTGATAATAACTACTATCATAACATGAAACTAAAAAGTGAAAAATAAATATAGTTTAAAAAAACTAAAAAAATCACATCGAACTATAAAGTTTAAAATAATTTTTTAAATAATTATGAACAAAAAATACTAGTATTATTGTGATAAAAGCGTGAGTGCATTATGCCATATTTTTCGTATATTGAGCTCCCAACGCTTTTATCACAATAATACTAATATTTTTTGTTCATAATTATTTAAGCTTATTTTAAAAATTATTTTTAACTTTTTAGTTCGATGTGCTTTAAAAGCGTATTTTTTTAGTTTTTTTAAACTACATTTATTTTTTTTTTTGTGTCTGTCACTTTTTTTTCTCGGCTCTCACTGGACCGATTTATTTCAACAATACGTCAAAAGATCACAAATCGTATCTAGCTGAAGACATTACCCTTAAAAATTGAAAAATTTTCCTTAGTTCCCCGCAAATGGGTGAAATCTCCAAAAAAATTACAATTTTTAAAATTGATAAAATTAAAATTAATTGTCATATTTTTCACTTTTTTTCTTAAAACTTCCATAACTTTTTCAAAAATCAACAAATCAACATAATTTTTTTTGTATTAAAACCTTAGATATTTCCATTTAATTTGATATCATTTTTTTGGAAATCTAACACTTATTCTACTCAGGGGGGTGGGATTTAAAATAACAACTTTATTATAAAAACTAACTTTTTCAACTTAACTTTTGAAAATGTTCCGGAAATATTCACAGTTTTATTTAATCTTAAATTAAAGCTTATATTATATATATTACTATGAAAAAAAAAATTTGAAATATACATTTTCTTCTTGGTGAAAATGTCTACNTATTACTATGAAAAAAAAAATTTGAAATATACATTTTCTTCTTGGTGAAAATGTCTACCATATTCAAAAATATGATATTTTTGTGTTAATATTCTGGGTTTTGTATTTTAGTTTATTTTAAAATATCTTACAAGGGGAATACACTGACTTTCATTAATACAATATAATTTAATTGACAAAATAAAGTTCATAAGACATAAGAAATTAAACTTATTAAAATTTTTTTTTACTTTTTTAAAGTCGTAAAAGTAATTTTTAAATTTGAATTAGCTTATATTACTAATTTTATCATGCGAAGAAAGCAATAAACAATTGCCGAATCAGTAACACTTGTGTCTTTCACGCTTAATGTACGGGTTCGGAACCGCCTGTAAATATTAATATGTTGCATTTTTTTGGGTTAAAAAAATGTTCAAATCATTTGATTTTTATCTCATTTAGATTCAATAACTTCAGTAAATATCAAGGATCCCATCACTTTAGTCGCCCCTCATGAGAAGAAATTTCTTATTCATATTAATATTATTTTACTATGTGGTTTTTTTTATGGCTACGATTTATTTTTCCGACCCTCACTTGACCTACTTTTTTCAACGATACGTCATATGAATACAATGCGTATTTAGTTGAAGATATTACCCTTAAAAATTGAAAAAAATTCCCTAGTTCCCTGCAAATGGGGGAAACTTCCAAAAAAATTACAAATTTAAAAATTGATAATTTTCGATATTTTTTCAATTTTTTTTACTTAAAATTGCCATAACATTTTTAAAAATGATCGAATCAATATAATTTTTT